AAGAGTAGCTCGATTTATGGCACCGATAACCTTAGTATCGCTCATAGACTATGCAGTACTGCTTAAGGATGCACTTTCTTCCGTTACAGAGAATCAAGAACAAGTTATTTCTGCTTTAAGAGCACGCACTGTATCACCGCAAAGAAATGTCGAAGGTGGCCGAAAAAAATGTTATCAAAGATACAAAAACAAATAAAAGTTCCATTCTAGTAGACGTTCTTTAACAGTGATTAACGCAAGCAACAATGATAACGTACAGCACGCATCGACATGCACATGAATATTAAAGATCTAATAGACACTAACTGAACTGTACCTGAAGAAATATTTCCCATTGGTCTGTAGTATATTGGATCACGTGTCTTATAAAGCGGCTCAACCGCTTTGAAAACTGATTATACTTAGGCAGACAGTAAGTATCTAAACCCTGGTGAATCAGCCGCAAAAGAGCCGAGGAAAAGGCAAAATACCTTAAGATATGATGCTCGCTAACTAAATGGCTGTTATATTGGTCCTAAAAGAATAAATGGTTGATTGTTGAAACAAATGGGTGAACCCAATTCAAGTTACCACGTCATCACTTCTGCTTATCAACAAGATACACCTGAACATGTCACCAAGCGGCAGCTGGTTTAGAATCGCCACTAGATCGTTTTCTCGTAGGGAAATTCCGGTTTCATCGTCTTCCTCTCCATCAGAATCCACTAGCACCCAACTGGCTTCGCTGGCCTGATTCTGGCAGTGAGCGATCTACAACCATTCAGCGTATAGAATTTCAATCAATGTTGAATGAGAACAACAAAAAACTCATCTGTACACTTACGTCCTTAAGAAACGCCTTTCTCTCTTTCACCGGACTTAATATTACAGATAGAATACATAGGAGATGATTGACTTCATAATTAGCAAATGGTTCGGCGATTGGCAAATGCAACGGAACCTGGATGAATGTGGTGGCCCAAGCACTTACTCCAGCTGGACATCTGAAAAGTTGTAACTTTATGGCCAGGATCTTCGCAAACAGAACACTTACCTTAAGATGTGGTGAATGAGAAATAGGTGATCCTGATAGTTTGCCACTCGAATTAAAACAGCTACCAACTGAGTGAGCCAGTTTCGAGCGTCCTCTATGAAGATTTTGTCTTTAATAAGCTTTCGTTGAAAGGCGAACAAAATCGATATGGAAGTCCGCACTTCGTTGATGTGGGCCTTTATATACGGCAGACATTCTTTCATGTCTAACGCCACTGGAGCCCTAGCGTCCAGATTAGTGACTGTAACCACATTTGTAATCACCTGATCGATGTACACGATAATCTGAAACAAAACCCAGTGAATAACTTTGTAATATACATCGAGTGTGGCACCTCGATTACTTGCAATCGGAAGTCTTCGGCCGAAAAGGAATACAAAACGTGATTTTCATACACCAACTTTTGTACTTTGCCTAAAATGCCCACAATATTTTCGAAAATTGGTCTATGGAATAGGCTTCTCTTGTACTGATGTGTGGTCGTAATGGCTCGTCCATCTTGGCATGTTCCTGCTGCTTTTACAGTGGCTGTATCGCTGGTCCAAAGCTCACTTTGCAAATTGCGGTACTCTTTTCTAAGCTGCTCGATCTCTAAATGGTTGCCTAAATAGAAAAAATGTTTTTATCAAAATTTGCCTTTGGATACATTCCTAATTTATGTTTTTTATATTATGTTTTGACACCCGGTTATATGCGATGATTTACCAGTAATTTTCTCTCTCACTTTCAAGTAATTCACCAGCAAGTCATACAGATAATGCTTCTTCAAATGTATGGACTTCAGTTCCGTATCAATGTAGGTTTTGGTGAATTCTTCTAAAACATCCAACTCACTATTGCAATAGAGCGACTTGAGCTGTTGCTCCGTATACGGTTTAATATTGAATTCCTCCTCAATTGATTGTTGAGGCTCTGGTATAAAGTTAGTTTGCGCTGCAGTAGCAGGCCGAGAAGGAATAGAGTCGATACTTTCTAATGTGCTAAGAATTTGCTTGTTGGCATTGAGAAACTTTTCGAAATTGTACTTTTCCTGTTGTCGTTTGCTTAGGGGAGCTTCTAAAGGCCCAACTTGTGACTGATCCGATTTTACTGTTGAGCCGTTTTCCCACTCTTCACTGATTGTAGAATTCGACTCTGTAGTCGCATGTGATTCGATTTCCATGCTTTTCATTTGGTCGACAATTAACTCCTCGCTTTTAATGGAAGTTACCAATTCATCAGCCAAACTTTCTGACGGTTCTTCGGCAACGAGTCTCTTCACACTATTGCCTATGCTTTGCCCTGAGGACATGTTGCTTGATGCAGTACTAGTTTTATCAGATGAATTGCAAGACTCATCTTGCGATGTAGTTTGCACTTGGGCCACACCGCTGGGTCTAGTTTTCCGCATGCGACTCTGTAATAACGCAGGAAAAAATGAAATTATTAATTATTCCATAAAGTTTAATATCTTGGACAAGGTCCAATAGAAAAGTTGAGACAGTCTTTTGCTAGCTTCTAGTTTGACATGCATGAAAAGGTACGATTTTGCTGTATGTTCTTTCCTTTTACGGATGTAATTCCCCTTATCTCAGCCCCATCGATTCCACATACCTTATCGGGTTTTCGAGCTACAGCTTCCATGTCGTGCTATCTATTTGCACTTGGAAATTTAACAACAGATTTGCATAGTAAGCACAGAAATATCATATGCGACAAAAGCGGAGCAAAATCAAAGAATAAATAAAAATAGTTTAGAAGCAACACAAAGTATTTGGATAAATTGCGATTTAGATTTGATTGTAAACAATATCAATGTCAACAAATGATAGATATAAATATTGTCAGCTGTTTTCCTCGCTAAATCCTCAATGTCAATGTCATCTGCTGATTTAATTGAAAACTTTTACGTTTGGCAACACCAGCAGAAGGCGATACAACAACCAACAGGCTTGAAAACCGATTTTAATTATGCTTCAAGGCATTCAAAAAAACGCCACATGGAAAGAATTACATTATTGAAGTGATAACTTTTTTATGGGAGGGTGAATCGATTTTTCTCGGTCACGRCGGCTCTCACTCCGGCCTCTTCCAACRACTCCTACAATAGCACATATGCACTTTGAATTCGACATTTTTCTCTTAGTGCGGGTGCATCTGTACATCTGATAAACTTTTCAAATACACATTGCGTTATTAAACTGCCAGTGATTTTGATTTATCAATTATTGAGTGTGATATTATTGTGTTCGGTGAAATTACGACAAAAAAATACAGAAACTCAAGAAGAGTTTACACAAACCCAAGAAGAGCAATATGTACAACATCTCGTTAAAGAATGTTAAATGTTGCAAGTAAAAAAGATATTTTACATTCAAAAGGAAATTAAATTAAATTTTACCCATTCTTAATCAATTTATAAATTATTAGACTAACAAGAATATTAAAATTATAAAATAAAATTATTATTCATGCATCATGCGTTAAACAAGTTCAATATTTTGAAGTTATCACTTTTGTCGAGCGTYCCGTGACGCACACCATTTTTTTTGGTTACATATTTTTCTACGTTCAACATCTTCAAAAATGAGCATAATTCGCGTTAAGTTTATTTTTCGCTATAAGTAAATTAGGTTTATGTACTTAATCACGAAGGAAGCTTAGTTCTAAAATAAATAAAATCCAATTGCTGAAACTCCTGACTTTTCCTTACCTCGTCGAATATAAAAAAAATTAAATAGTCAAAGTCCTTAAGCAAAGAAAGTGGTTTGACAAAGCACAGTCAAATACGTACAAATAGTGCTAATGATAAAGACATATGCGGAATTGTCTAGAACGAAAAACCCGGCTGCGTTGAGCTCTACTTGGCGCAGATGCGTTTGCTGAGCCATTTCGAGAAAACGATCGCTTAGAATTTCATCAGCTCTACTCAGAGCACATCTCTGAGACTTCTGATGACACACTGCTACGGTTTTCTTTATTTCTGATGAAAGCTTGTCTGCCAGCAGTATAACTCCACAAACATGAATCTAAAAAATCATATAGTTTCTGAGCGATATAAGCGCAGCCTTTGCTTTACTTACCTCTAGATAAGTTATGTCAATCAAAAGGGAAACATTTGAACTCCATACCAAGACCATTCGGTCAGTAAAAGCCAAAATAAATAACGATAAATAGATTAAAATCAACGAGATTGCAACCAAAATGGAACAAAACAATGCAGGTCCAAACACGCGATTAATCTCATCTATAATGTAGAAAAACTTCCTCTGAGTAGACGCCAAAAAAATCAACTCTTCATTGTTATCAGTGGAGTTTAGTTGCTGATTTAAGCAGTGGTATTTCATAATTATCTGATATAAAACCAGAACTGCAGCAGCCAGAAGGACGTCGATGCGCAAAAAGCAAATGTAAGCACATGCAAAAATCCACATATGCACAAACATGTCCCGGGTGAAAAACATTTTCACAAACAATAAAAAAAACCACACAACCACGATTTTTCGCGATACGTAATCACACTTTTTCGGCATTCCTCCATGATAATCGATCTTACGAAGAACGTTAAGCAGTCGTTTTATTCTCCATCCATTCTTCAGCACCGCCACAGAAACGACAATCGCAAGAGCGCATTGAAAGAAGTGACTACATATTTCTAAAATCTTCATTGCCAGAAAAGGTTGCTCAATTCTTGTATATTGGAAGCTGACGCATGTAGCTATAACAGCACCAGTCCAAAATAATATCCAGATTATATCCAACACTTTGGCAGCAAATCGCTGCTTGAAGTAGATGGGAGGGCACAAACCCATGATAGTGCTTATGTAGATAAGCATGGTCGGAAAAATCGGTTTCATTAGAGCGTAGGTACTTAGGAAAATGTGAATCAAATTGGAAATGCGTACATTAACATATCAAGTTGATAATATTTAGATGTTTATCCTATGCGGAATGTCAAGTCCAGCTAGTGGAATGATTAATTAATATGAAAATGGAAACTAGGTTGACATTATAATCTATTACAGTTTGACCGAGTGAGTAACAAACACGCATACGTTTATGAAAAAAAAAGTACCTATCGAAATGGTAACACTTTAATGAGGGCGAAAATAAATTAAACACTCATAAAGAATCAATGCAACACAAACAGTTAGGAGTTATGGATCCTCTACGATAAGAGCCACGCATTCTATATTGAGGGTGAAGAGAAGGCTTCGTCATGGCCCATACTGTAGAGTAGCCAAGCATTAAAACTAAATCACAGCAATACTCATTTTGTACCAAGTGGCATCATTTAGGAGTCATAAACAAGATGCATTATTATTACTTATACTTGATTCAAAATCTAACTTTGGAATAGTTTTCATTGTTCCTTTTAATCTGCACAATGATCACGTCACTTTACACCTTCATCACTTTCATCGTCTGTTTCGGTAACTGTCCTAACATCGATTATTATCGGCAAATTATCAATATTAGCATCCACGTGTTGCAAATTGGCTGTTTGGTGGTCATTGAGAGGATCTGCCAATCTAAGATTGTAGAACGCTGTAGGAGTCGATTCAGAAATCTGGAAAAAAAGTTGCACACGACTAATTGCAATTCCGATGGACAAGTTGATTCAAAATTGGCGTCAATCCTTTTATAGGGTAATTGGGAATCACGTGAAAGGAAAAATATATTGAATTTTTTTTTCGATAATGAAAATCGAATTTTAACTTTGTTTTTAAGCATTATTTTGAAAGTGTTCCATGTTTAATTGGTAGCATATTGGAAAACTTAAGCGTCCAAAAAGAAAAATTACGATCTTTGCTTCAAATTACGAAAAGTTTTGATATA